GTGTGTTTTTTTTTAACCATTTTATTATTTAGTTACAAACAAGACAGAGAGGAGCTCCTTTACTTGCCGGGGAGAATGATGCCATCATACTGGAAAAGAGAAACGGAAAACAAAACAGTTTTAGTCAAAAGTGAAAAACTGATGAGAAAAAATCTGATCATTTATTAGGTTAAACACTCAAACATGTCCATAAATATAAATATACCCCATGGGAACCATGAGAAACATTTCATACCTTCAACCTTTACATCATGTTGGACATTTCCATATGGAGATTCACATTTTTTAAAGATTTAACTGAAACTTCAGGGAATGTTTTTGGTTTTCTGACGTCTGAGTTTAAACATTAAGTTAAATAAACTCAAGCTTCGCCACAGAGTGAGCCAAAAACAAAAACACAGAATGTGAAGATGAAATAAATCCCTGGAAGATTCAAGTAAATTTATACAACAAAGAAACTTAGTTTGGGCGACTTTGAGTCACGTAATGGTTCCTAAAAACTTTGGTTTTCATGTTCAAAATATAAAAATATCAAATGATGGTTCAACAGTTTTTTCTGCAATATTTGCATTAAATTTCCACAAAAACTAAATAGAACCAGAAATCTGCTGGTTTTGACATTGAGTTGGATTAAATGTGCTTTTTTATTTTACATCATTTCATATTCCCACAAAAAAAATCCATCTTTTGAAAATTTGATGTTTATTTTTAGTTTAAAGATAAAACTGTGTTGTATTTTTTAATGTTTCCTAAAGGAGACATTTAACTAAATTTGTGTCTTTTTAAAAAATAATTCATGACATTTGAGGGTCTAAAGTTAGTTTTGGATGGAATGAGAGAAAAACGGTTCTTAGCAAAGGTCAGTGGTCTAGTCAAAGTCCAGGATTAAGACAACTATATTTAATCCCATATATTGTAGTTTCTATCCTGCTGTTGCAGTGATAACTTGATCTCCATGTTTCTCCACAGGTGGGATCAGGAAGTTGAAAGAACTTCCTGTTGACCTCTGAACTCACTTTCTGCTGGAACCAGCGCATGGCCTCCTCTTTGCGGATGCGGTGCTTGGCGCCGATGCGGCCCGTTTTCCGCTTCTTGTCTGCGATGCTGAAGCCGGGTCTGCCCAGAACCTGGAGGGGGAGAGAGAGGTGAATTAGAGCTGCACCGATCCATATCAATATCTGATCGGTCCTGATAATGAAAACGATTAGAAATCAGCCATCAGTGACGGTTCACATGCACCTTCCAGAGACTAACGCAATCAGTTCAGTTAAAGCTAAACTTGTCAACTTTTTCTTCTTTTTCATCCTTAATAAATTTGTTTACGAATTGATGTGATGAACTGACTTGTTCTGACTCAAACTGTGGGCCGTCTGTCCCCCTCTGCTGCATGCCGAGTCACTGTGAGGAACCCAGAGCGGCTTATTTATGTTTACAGGTTTTCCAGAACATTTGTAGCTGCGGTGAACTCTGCAGCCCGGAAAATACGGCATATTTAAATTTCCTAATATTTTCTGCACTGCAAAAACAAAATGTTATCAAATAATTTTGGTCAAGTTTCTAGTGGAAAAATGTTTTTAACCAATATTCCTTCATGTTGGGAAAATAAAACGTTCTGGTTCCACTGGCTGATTATTTCATCTAAAACATTTTTCCATGTTATAAGTGAAATAATCAGCCGGTGGAACTAGAACCGTTTATCAACTTAAAACAAGCTGCTTGCTGAAGTTATTTGTAAGTTAGTTTTGTCTTATTTCAGTGTACCAACATATTTCCATTAGAAACTGGACAAAGATCCTTAGATCTTGTGTTTCTGTTAGTTTATTATTTATTTTACATTGACTGTTACTCTTCTAATTGCACTGACTGAACAAATTAAAGTTGTTTTTACATGTTTGATCAAACTTGTGAAGCTGTTCTGTACTGAAAGAGTTATCTAATAAATTTGTACTTCAGTAGATTTGTGGGGGTTTTTTAAATAAAGAAACATTTTAAGTGAATTCAGAAATGTTTTCTGTATTGAATCAGATCTGGGAAGTGAAGACAGTGGATCGGTGAACCTTTGAGACTCAACCCGCCGGCGAAGGTTGGATTGTTTCCATAGAAACGATAAATCCTGTAACATTTTCTCTGCTGCTTGCAGCAGCTGCTCTGTGACCAGGACATCCGAGTCTCACCACGTAGAAGTCGAGTCCGTAGATGCCGATGCTGGGGTCGTACTTGATGCCCAGGTCGATGTGCTCCTGGATGCCGAAGCCGAAGTTCCCGGTGTCAGAGAAGTTGTTCTTCCTCAACTCGTACTCGCGCACCTGAAGGCAGCAGAGGAACGTCACCGTACGGCAAGCAGTCACAGTTTCTATCTGTTACTAAACTTTTCTCTGCAGATTCATGTTGTCATTATTACAAGAATAATAATAATAAGGCGTCAAAATAATACGAAAACATCAGAATGTTACCAGAGTAAAGTTATTTTATGAGAACTACAGTACAAGAAATAAACTTAAAAGAATGTTGAGCATCTTGTGAAGTTGTACTTTGATAAAAGTTTTATGGATAATTTTAACACATCAAATTATCATCAGCAGGACTTTGAACCGATAACAGCTTCTCTCATAAGTTTTTTCTTGATTTTAATTGCCACGTTTTGAAAACATTTATCGTCATTTATCATAAAAAAAACAACTACAATCAGAAATCAGGTCTGCTATGAGAAAAAAATTAATGAATAAATCTGATGATATTTTTAAGCTATATGGCCCAGACAATGTGAAATGTAACAAAACTAATGATAGAGAAATTATGGCATCTAAAAAACAAAGTTCTACAGCTGATGATCAGGATCTGAATCAGACAAAAACAAAGATCCAAAGTCTAAAGAAAAACTTTACATCAGGATTTAAACAAACTATCCATTTAAAACTGTTTCCACAACATTTACACTCAAATTACACATTTTCCAAACATATTTACAACAAACTGCTGGTCCATCGTTCCCAGAAAGGCTCAAATGTCATTTAATAGTTTAAACGTGGACAAACTTCCGTCTTTCACATAGAAATATTGAAACTAGACCTGGTCTGGGGTTAAAGATATACCAAGATGGAACCAGTACTACAGTTAAAACCAACCAGATTCTCCCCAACATGTTGGTGCTCACCATCAGCTGGCTGAAAAAAACTAACTATTTTCCCTCATAGTTGAAAGACAAATTAATTTTTTATGTTAAATTTGTTTAACAACAGAAAATACAGCACTTTTAATTAGATTTAAAGCTCTGTTATTTCTCATTAAGGAGTTTGGACCCACAGCACCGAACAGAGCCTCACCTTCAGCCCTTTCTCCAGGATCTCCTCTGCTTTGGCCCCACGGACGGTGCAGTGGACAGCAATCTTTTCATTCCTGCGAATGCCGAAGGATCTCACAGTGTAGCGGGCTGCGGAGAGACAAACAGGCCCAGAATCAGAACATGCCTCAGACATTCAGTCCAACCAGCCGTCCGGACCCAAACACTGACCCTTAGAGAAGACAGGAGTCTGTCCGGTCAGCTGCTCCAGCACCTTGGCGGCTCTGGTCAGTCTGTCTCCGCTTTCACCCACGCAGATGTTCAGGCAGAGCTTCCTGATGCGCAGCTCTCTCATGGGGTTCTCCTTCTTCTCACCCTGGTCCTGCAGGGAAAAACACACACAGAGGATTATTTAGCAGCAAAACTCACCTGACAGCTGCTGTCATGTCTAGTTAAAGCACCTAAATAAGCCAGGCTGCAGTTAACCTGCTAACGAAACCCATTTTAACACCTAGACAGCTCTGTGGAGCTGGCTGTCAGAAACACACGCCGGCTGGAGAACATGTCCGAACATCTCCCCGGTAGCATTAGCATCAAAACAGATCACAAATCTGTCTGAAATTTAATGAACTCACACCTCAAATATTAACGGAATCCCGTCGAGAAACTACGCGACACGTCTCAACATCTTCAACAGAATGTTTACCCGAACTACCATCAGTGAAATAAGCAGTTTTCAGAGGCTAGTCTGTTAGCATCAGTTACCTTAGCTAATTTAACCGACATTTGTGGTGATTATCTAACAAATACAGTGGCAGATACAAAGTTCATCTTTGGGTCTGTGTGTCTGAACAGTGAATAGCCGATAAAACAGCTTTAACACCCCGATGATTGTAGATTTAAACCGTAACTTCGTGTGAGTTCAATGCGACATCACACTCACCGCCATATTGGATAGCTTGGAAAAGGACGACACATTTCCGGCAGGACAGCTTTATAGCTGAGTGTGCGCCTTCAAGTGATCCCCCGGAATAAAAAGGAGCAACGAGAGGGTTCCGCTTAAAGAGTAACGTTTAAATTCACACTACTCTCTTTTCTTCTAATTACTTTAACATTATACTTATATTCTTCTTATATTTATTTAAGAGTACGAAAATGCATAACAATAGCTTAATAAGCTTTAATATATTATTTTGTTATTAAATATAGTGATATGTAATGCAAACTATTAATACTAAGATTTATTACTAAAGCCCAGTGTAAAAATAATTGCCAGATATTGCCAGCATTTATGAATGCAATATTGATATTGTTTCAAAGATAAAGTAAATCCACTGAAACATTAACCCGTTAATAGGAGTATAAATGTAATAAATATTATGTATACTTTGAAAAATAAAAATTCTAGTGGCAAATGAAGGTTAATGAATGGATGACAATCCATTCATTAACTGTTTTTAATCCTTACATAATTAAAAACAGTTAATGTTTTTAATTATGTATATTACTGTTTTTAATCCTTACAGAAGGTCACAAAGCACTAAAATACAAAGATGATGACTTCTTATGCTAAATATATTATGACCAAAAATAATTTTGCTGCAATCTGAAAAAGATTTATTTCATTTTTATAAAAGGATACTTATGTTTGTTTCCCAAGGAAGCTTCATTTAATAATTTGTTGTTCTGAATAAAAAAAAAACATATAACACAAACATTATGCATATTAGTCACAAACATTCTGATTTTTATTTTTGCAGATGATGCAACCACTCTTTGTTCTGATCAGGATTTAAAGCAGCTTTAGGATGTTGTCAGAAATAAATTTATCAACTCAAATGATGAAATTATCCAAAAGCAAATTTATGTTGGTTGGAAATGGAAAAAAATCAAAGAAAAACTTACTGATAGTGGATTCATTCATTAATTGGCGTCATGGTCTATGCACACATGGATATGTGCGTGTTCATAAATGCATGTATGTGTATCCATATACAGGATTACCATTTTGACTAAGAAATAGTATGTAAACTTGGAGCTAGCGCTCGCTAAGCCATTCCTTCTTCCTGCTTCCTTTCAAAGAAATGAAAAACACACATTAAGATCTGCTGAAATCTGAAATGTTGTGATACATACAGGAGGAACCACCTCAACCAAAAACTGATTTCAGTTTTTTGAAATTGACGTGTTTCTATTCAACAAATTCATTTTCGTAATTCCAATTTGCTCAATTTTATGATTAATGGAGATGCAGCTAATTTTATGTTTTTTCTGCTTCAATACAGCTGATTGAAATGCTCAACCTCAGATACAGTTCAGCTGATGAACCATCGTTAGATTCAGGTGTGCTGAACCAGGATAGCGTCCCTTGTTGACTGACTTTGGACACCAATGGCCTAGTTAAAAACAGAGGAACTTAAAGCCAAACACCACAGCAACAACAAACACCAGGATGAGCTTCAGCCAATCAGAAGAAATCAGAGGGTGGGATTTTTCAGGAAGTTCTTCTGGGTTCATTTCGGTTCTGACGGTGACTGGTTTCAGAGAAGGAAGAAGAGGCGGAGGCCTCAGCAGCGGCAGACCTTCCTTCATCTGCTCCTCCAGGACTTTGACTAGGAACTCCTGAGCTCTGCGAGGAAACACGGATGTCGCGAAGAGGTTGCTCTCAGGAACAAAGAAGTGAGGGAGCGAGCCTGTGCGGGCATAGTCCTGTAGCGCAGCCACCAGCTGCAGGAAGCAGGTGGGAAGATGCTGAGGAGCCCAGGAGGAATCATTATACCTGACAGGAAATATTCAGAAATAAATAAATTACTGATAAACCAAGAACCTCAAACATTTCTTCAGATTTCCCCCCAAACAGCTTGTTCACTGTAAATTGGTCTTAATTAATATTTCTTCAGCCTTTCATATAAATCTTTCACCATTCTTGTAAATTTAAATTTAATTTGTTTGGTCGGGGTAATACACATTCATTTCTGCAAATGCTCCAGAATTATCCAAAGGGCTATTTTTCATCTGTTCTTGGACAATGAGTAATTTATCTAGTAAAAAAAAAAATGACTTAACTAATACAATCAGTAAATACAAAACAAAGGAAATTATAAAAAGTATAAGAAAAATCTAAAACTAAATTAAATTAAGACGGTCACAGTGAATTTCTTTGACACATTCTTAAGACAAACTGAAAGTCATGACTTGGGAGAGCTTGAAAAAAAATGCATGCCACACTTTTCAGATTGTTTCATATACATTTGGTGTTATAACCCCCAAAAGTGTAATAATCAATTAGAATGAATGCTTTATCGAGCTGCAGTGTGTCGTTTTAACCCTGGAGTCGGTGTCCGGTCCGCACCTGGTGGACAGAGTGTGCAGGAAGGCCGTCTTGCCGTGGTACGAACACAAGTCCTCCAGCTCTTTGGGGTAGCGCCGCTTCAGACCCTCAATGAGAGACTTCAGCAGCATGAGGCACTGCTTGCTGGGAAATAATGGGGCAGATTAATACAGAAGACAGAAACCTCAACAGTGGGTTGAATCATAAAAACATTTCAGGCTCAGAATCTGGAGTAACATCATCTGTCTGTGCTGCTGTAATCACAAACTGTGAGTATTTAAAAACTGTAAAAGATATTAACATGCAAATTCACTGAGATAAAGTCCAGCTTTGATTGATCAGTTTAAACTTTAAATGGTGGACGGCATGGCGGAGATTTGGAGCTCCTAACAGGGCTGGGTTTTCTCACTTTAATGAAAGGAGTCTGTGGGGAAACGTTCACATTTCATCTCATTTTTGAAACACAGAATACTGCTGCATGTTTTCACGCGTTTGTTATTTTAAAAAGCAGGTAAATAAGCAGAAATGTGTCAAAAATGATAATGCAGTTTAATGCTTTTTGTATGGGATCTTTAAATGCTCAGAGATTTGTATAAAAATAATTTCCCAGAAAGTTGTGGGGCTGAGTTTGAACCCACCGGCAGCATTTGGTGCCTCTGCTCTCACAGCAGGTCTTCTTGTTGCCGTGAGATGTGATGATTTTCTTCTCAATGTGAGAGAAAGAAATCCTCCAGCTTTCTGAAAAACAGCCAAAATAAGAACAGGATGACCAGATGGTGGAGATCAGGAAGCAGATTAATCTCACTTTACACATTTAACCACTAACATTTTCACTGAATCCAAATGTTTAGTCTAACACTGTATTTAACACAGTTTAATAGAAGAATTAATGTGTTGTATTCCTTCTTTTTTGAGTAAAAGTCATTTCTACACCTACTTACTATGAAATTAAAATGAAAATACTTTCTCCCCAACACTTTTTATTATGCACTAAAGAATAATTAAATACGTCATTGAAATTCTCATGCTAAAAAATGAAAAGTTCCCTCTGGAGGGCCACGTTTGTACCGTTTTTGAGCTGCAGTTGGGGGCCACAAAGAAAAGGGTCACAAATGGCCTGGTGCCACACTCTGGGACCCTTGGTTTGATCCAAGCTAATTCAATTATTCTTCTAGTAAGGTTAAAATATGAAACATAAGGCCAAACACATGAGCTTGTCCAAAAAGGTCAGGTGAATAAATTGTGTTTCCAGTTGAAACCACCAGGTGGCGCTAAAGGCAAACATCTGAATTTGCACTGACATAAAAAGTCTTCTTCTCACCTTTGGCGTCTTCACTCAGTTTCCGTCCTTTCTGCCTTTTAGGAACAAAGTAACAAGGTAAGCTCCTGATTTCCTGGCGGAGCTTCGTTCCCAGCCACCTGTCCACGTCGGGGCCGTTTCGCACCGCAGGGGGCCAGCTCTGGACCTCCAAGCACAAACAGCAGCAAACATTTCAAACTCATCAGAGAAACTGCTCATCAAGTGTCATTAAACTGTGCTGAACAGCACAATCTGGTATGTTCTGATGTTTTGAAACAGAATTGAAGATAAATTCAAGTCTGGACTTTGACTAGGCCATCTAACCCACAAATCTGCTTCGGTCTAAACCATCCCATAATATCTCTGATTGTCCTGCTGGACAGCTAAACTGAATAAGTTAACAGATAAATAAATTAAGGCGGCCATATGATCAATTTAAAAATTATTCTTGCTCTTTGAAAGTTTTAAGACAAATTGTCTCTTATTAGGATTTTGTTTGATAAAGTGGAACAATTTGGCACCAAATTATGAACACTAACTCCTTTAATAAAGGAGTGAAGAGATAATCATGCACACTTTGGAAAGGTTTAACTAGTAAGTGAGCCTGTCTCAGAAATCAAGAAATCACCTGATGAATTAAAGTGAACTTTCTGTTCCGAAATGTTTTGAAGGAGCAGATTTATTGATTTATTGATTACCTCCAGAGCCGGAACGACGTCCACAGAAATCAGCTCCTCCCCGCCGCTGTCTCTCCGGCACAGAGACAGAGTGACGGCGGGAGAGTTGGGTTTCTTCCTGTTCAACTCCCACCGGCAGCGATGATCCGGGACTGAACAGGAGAGAAACACAAACCAGAGTCAGAACCTTCACAGTTCAGAAACGTTCAAACATCTGTCCATTCGACTGTCCAGACCTGAGAATCCATGCAGAGCCTGGACCCGACCAGGAGGCGCACACTCTGGACACACAACCCTACACACACTAACTAATGGGCGCAAATATTTGTCTTTGTTCTGCTTATATCAAAAAATACAATTTCACAATTGCGGTGTTTCCATTATTATGTTTCCCAGCCACTTATAGAACAACCAACTAACTATGTCATATTCAGTTGGCATAAAAATGCTATAAATATCAAATATAACTTCAAAGAAATTTGATTTTGTAATTTAAGGCCTTGAAATTGTGTCTTTAAAAGTTCCTGCTCTCTGAAACTCCTCCTTCAGGAAACCATCACTCAGCCCTTTACTGGGAGGAGCTGCGTCTCGAAGCAGAGCTGCACATTGTCCAAAAAAACCAAAACAATCCTCATCCTCCTACCGCTTCCTGTAGTCTTCTTCAACATTTCTGCCAGTAGTAAAACTGGTTGTTGATCATGTGACTCGTTTGATGTGGAAAAGGTGTTTCCATTGCAGTTCTCTGAAATAAAGCTATTTTAATACGGCTGAAAAAACACCAATGCCAAAAACTTTTTTAGGGGTGCTGTGGTGGCAGGGGCAAAGCACAACCCATGTATTGAGGCCTTAGTCCTCATGCTGGTGGTCGCAGGTTCGATTCCCGGCCTGGTGACATTTGCTGCATGTCTTCCCCCTCTTTCCTGTCAAACTACTTTCAAATAAAGGCCACTAGAGCCAAATAAACCTTTAAAAAAAAAATTTCTATAGAAAAAAGAGAATTTTTTCAAAATTGCCATGTTTTTGTTAAGCAAATTTATTTTCATACTTTCAATTTGCGCAATTTTATGGTTAATAGAAACACAGCTACTGGCACCTAAAGTCAGTTTGGAGAACCCAAGCAGGAGGAGAACATGCAAACCCCAAACAGAAAGAAAAATCTGACCCAGATGCTCAGACTTTAGCATCAGCGGTAGAGTAGGGCAGAACCACAGACCTCTGTAGGTCTTCAGGAACTTGCGGACGAGCCGGAACATCTCGGTCAGGATTTTACTGGAGGACAGGGTGAGTCTGTCGTCCAGCAGGAAGTCCTTGATGGGGGTTCGCGTGGGCCGGGTCAGGTCGATGCGGTAGAACAGGCCGGCGTCCAGCTTGGTGGTGCTGAAGCGAGAGGGAACCGGAAGCTTCAGCATCATGTCGAACTCATCAGGGATGTAGATCTGAGGGAGAAACAGAGTCCGACTCTGACCAGATTTACTTTCCAAACCCGACAACATCCAGACGATTTTATTCCTCCTATCAGTTATTCTGAAAAAACACAAAATGCTACCAATGTCATGGTTCGGGGTTTGGTGAGGTGAGATGAGACGCAGGCAGCCAGGATGAAGGTGAAAATGATGAATTTAATGATTCAGAGTCCACAGGAAAACAGACTTAGACGAGGGTGGGACACGACGGCACAGGGAAACAGTTACAAATGACGAGGATCTGACAACGAACACAGACAACAGGTGGGGCTAAATACACACAGGGTAATCAGGGGGATACGACACACCTGGGGAGCAAACAGGGAGGACAGAGACTCACAGGGAACAGGACTACACAGGGAAAACAGGACTGAACACAGAAGAACTCAAAAATAAACACACAGAAACACAGATCACGACAACCAAGTATTTTAGTGGAAATATTAGTACATAAAACAAAACCAATTTACAAATAACTCTTCAGCAAGACATAGGAGTTTGTTTAAAGTCAATAAATCTTTAATGTTGTAGCAAAATTCTTAGTTCATTGGCAGATTATTTCACTCATAATAAGTTTTTTCGCTTTTTGTAAGTTCCAGTCGGTGGAACCAGAGTGTCAAACTGCTGCAGGTTCTGGTCCGTTTCCCCCTGACCTCACCTTGACCTTCTCAAAGTAGCTCCCTGTGGTGAGGAAGTCGGCCGACTGGAACAGCGGCTGGTCGCTGCTGTTCTTCAGGAACCTCAGCAGGTTCTCCCTGAAGTCGTTGACCAACTCGGCGGCCCAGGACCGGTCCTTCTGCCGGATCTTCAGCTCCTTGGCCCGCAGCTTGATCCAGTGGGCCAGATGGGGAGGGATGGGAAGCGGTTCCTCCACCGACAGGGAGCTTTCCACTGCAGGGTGACGGTGATGAGTACGACGCCAAATTAAAAGACATTGCAGGTAGAAAAAAACCGAGTAAATTACTACCAAAAATCTCAGAATTTTCTAGAAAAAAAAACACAAAGAAATTTCTGAGTTTGAAAAGTCAAAGTTTTTTCTAGAAAAATTTTGACCTTTGAAATTCAGAAAATGTCTATTTTTTATGGAAAATGTCTGAGATAAATCGTTTTTTGTCTGAAGTTTACTCCTTTCTCTGGTTTCTGTCTACATCGGTCCAATGTGCCGCTGTACATTGGAGCCAGAAAACGATTCCTCTAACCTGGGCTGATCATCGGTTTTACCTGAGTCTTGCGGCTGAACTCTCGGCCTTCGTCTCACAGGAGAGACGACCTCAGGCTGATTGTCCTCTGTGTCCATCCTTCAGTCGTCTCGGCCTTAAACTGAATATTCAGAGAGAAAAATCTGCAGAAGAAGCAGAAAACGGGCAGCAGCAGTGAGACGCGAGCAGCGGCGTTCTGGATCAGCCGCAGCTGTTTTTTTTAGACAGACTTATGAAGACACTGTTGCAGTAATCAATGCGACTAAATGATCCAGACCTCGCTGTGACATTAGTCCTTTAATCCAGTGTTTTTCAACCTCTGTGCCGCGGCACACTAGTGTACCGTGAGTGATCGTCAGGTGTGCCGTGGAAATTATCCAATTTCACCTGCTGTATTTTCCGGACTATTAGCTGCTACTTTTTTCCTACACTTTGAACATGTGGCTTTTCTGTAGATTTTTCTTCAACCACCAGGGGGCTCTTTAGCAGGAAGTGAATCATTGGAAGTCAAAATTGGAAATCAAAGAAGAATGCGCTATTTGTCATTTAGAACAAGCACATGCTAGCAGCAGGCATGACGGAGAAATGTTTTCAAACTCATATGATGCAGGAGTATCGATCTGGCAGGACAGGAGGGAAATAAAGCCGCTGCACGTAAACTCCGCGTGAACAGAACCGGATTTGGAGACGGAGAACTGGGTCCTTAATATATCCAGCAGTTATTAGGACGCAGCCCTCTGCTGCCCTCTGCTGGGTCCTTATGGGAAACAGAGCGGCAGAGATACCAGTGGCATGGACATCATATACGTTAATGTCTAATGTCTATGACCAGCGGCCTGTAGCCCGGTGCGGCTGATATATGTAAGTTTCCGGGGGGTTCAAAAAATTTGAAGGTACGGTTTATAATATGGTGCGCTCATAGTCCGGAAAATATGGTAATTGGATTGGTCTTGAAAGATTTTTTGAAAATGAATTCATTATCTGCAAATAATGCCATCTTTGAGTGTCTTTGCTGTAGTAGTGACTAGCGGCGTAATCATGTAATTTTATTACCACTAGATGGCAGTAGGTACAGAGCATTTCACATTAAAACAAAAGAATTGTTTTAATGTAAAACAATTCTCAAACAATGTAAAACAATTCACAAACAGTGCCACACACGACAGTGTTGTGGCCCTGTTCAGGTGTTCAGGTGTATTTTTGAAGTGGGCATGTTAAGTGCAATTTGAAATAAGAAATGTAAAATATGATAAAAATAATTTTTTATGTTTATTTGATTTCTATTCAAGACACTTTGATAAGAATGACTATATATATAGGCGGCTACAGAGTATCTTTGTTTACATTTTTGGTTGGTGGTGTGCCTCGTGATTTTTTTCAATTAAAACAATGTATCTTGGCTCAAAAAGGTTGAAAAACACTGCATAATCCCTACAAGTAATAGAAGGCTGACTTTGTAACTGTCTTTATGTGTCTTTGAAGGTTCAAACCCAGATTTCAGCTGATCTCTGGTTTCCAGCTGTAATCACTAAAGGTGTGTGTTGACTCTAGAGCTATAACTCTAGATTGTCCCTCTTCAGCTCCCAAAATAATAACTTAAGTTTAGTTTCTGATCAGCTGGAAAACGTCGTGGCGCCTGCAGACATTGATTTGCTCTCAGCATCTGTTTGGTTTTGAATGGGTTCAGAGTCACCTGGTACATCGTAACGTAGAGCTGTGTATGAATTACGTAGTTTTGAGAGCTAATCTGATTTCTTGCTGTAACCTGAGCGAATGAGATCATTTAGATATTGGACATAAGGGGCCCCAGGATCGGACCTTGGGGTTCCCCACCTGTGAGTTCTGTCAATGAAAAGTTACCTGTTGACACAAAGAGATCCCAGGTGTTCAGGTCAGATTTCAAACCAGTCTGGACCTGAGCCCGACCCAGCTCTCCATTCCAACAGAATCACTTCTGTGGTTTTTCCATTGAACACTAAGACTGCGGTTACCATGGAAACCAGAATGAAATCAGCAGTCTGCCATGTTTCAAATATTAAAAAGCCTGTCTGAGTAGTAATAATAATAATAACAAAGTATTGAGCTTTGATTCAAATATTCTACTTTATTCAGCAACTACTGGATAACAAAACACAGTTACGTAATGCTTAATGTTGTTTTTAATTTAACTATAGATAAACCCCGGCAGTGAAAGGGTTAATGCACGTTTGCAGGAAGGATGGGACAAAATGAGACGTTCAGCTCTTCAGTCCCGGAACGTTCCCTGAGTTCAAACATTCCCTGAGTTGGGAGAAGGAAGTGACAGAAGTTTTCCTGAAATACTTTATTAATTTATTTACTTTCAGACTGGAATGTAGAAATGGATGAAAAACTGTGAAAGAAAAAAATATTTTGGCGATGAACAAAACGGATGGGGAGGAATATGTTCCTTTAGTCCGGATCACATGCTGGTATGTTTTATGACTGCTTGTAAAGCATGTTGTTTAAATGACCTGCTTTTTAAATAAACCCAATCACAACACGAAAAATATTTCTAGATGATTAACTAAACAGCTAAACTACAGAATATCCAGCGATTCCAGTTGGACTTTATTAACCATCGGCTGATTTCATTAAAAACCATTAAAATCATTGAAAAAACCCCAAAACATTAGTTTTGGATTCAACAGAAATAACGAATGAAAAAAGGCAGCATCTCACCTGGGCCAGGTTCTGCTGTGAAAATGTTGTTACCTGAACCGGACCTGGAACCGAGCCGCGTCTCCTGCCCAGCAGAACCTGAGCTCTGCTGTTATTGGTTGGAAGCGCTGACTAGGTTTCGCTTTCATCTACTAGGAAGCGTCAGAAATGAAACCACAAACTGTAACTATGGTGTACGGAAGCACTGACATGCCAAAAATAAAAATCATTCTGGGGAAAATATGCCATCACTTTACTGCAATATCATTAAAATAAAGATTCTTGTGGACAAGTTTAGACTCAAACTTTTTCCATTCACATTTATTTTAACATCCATGTAGGCTTTTCTTTCACTCTAAACAATGCATAATAATTGGTTAGTTTATACACTTTCAATAGTTGAGCAACAAAATTTCCCAAATCTAACAAATTGTGAAAAAAAAACTCAATTACAGACTGAAAGATAAATTCCCATTTTCCAAAATTCTTGGTTTCTCTCCTGACTTTTCTCAAATTTAGAAAAAAAACTTTTTGATTCAAATACTGTTTTATTTGATTGTTTTAGACTCAAAATCAAAATAAAAGATAGAAATTTACATTTTTCGTACACATGGGGTGATGTTTGTAAAGTTGCACAATAAAAAGTGAACAGTAATAATTTGAGTTATTCAGCCAGTAATAGAGAAAAACAGGGTTCATTTCTTTCACATTATTCATTCGTTTATGGAAGTTGTCATTTCAAATAATAGATTTTCATTAGCAAGCGTGATCTTTAGTTCACAAACTAAAGATTTATCTTTGAGCTAAATCTATGACCTAAAACAAACGAAATACTTAGCTCTAGTTGGCCAAAACTAAATATTTAAGTATAAACTAAACACAAAACATATGTATTTAAATACATATTTAAATATGCATTTAAATATGTATTTAAATACAAAATATAGTCTTATATTTAAACTAAATATTTAAATCTTTAGCTTACAAATTAAATAATTAGCTCCAAAATAAAGTTAGCTAAAACTTAATATTTAAATATTTTGTTTTAAATTAAATATTTAAACATTTAGTTTTATATTTAAATATAAATCATACATTTAAATATATATTCCAAATAGTATAGTAAATATTTAATTAGCAAAGTAAATATTTAGCTCTGAACTAAAGCTAGTTAGAAAGCTAAATATTTAGCTTAAAAATAAATATTTAACTCCAAATTAAATAGTTGTCTTGCAAGCTTTATTTTAGTTTGTAAACAAAGTATTTAGCTTTAAACCAAAGTTACGTTTGCTGGCTAAATATTTAGTCAGTAAACAGACTTAAGAGAAAAAGCACATAGAAACAGGAGAAGTGTGTTTGATTCTGTGATATTTTTATTGTTTTGGCTTCATCTTAGTTAACACCAGAGCTTCCAGTTGAAGGCGGAGAATCTGCCTCCTTTCCTGCGGAAACTTTTGCGATGGGCTTTAATCAGCATAATCCAGTCCTTGAGTAGAGATCCATGCCTCAGAGAAGAAGACGGCGTCGGGTGGTGAGGATGAGGAGGAGCTGCAGCTTTCTGCTGGACGTCCTGCATGAAGATTCATTTCTTCTTGTCGGCCTTCTGTGCAGACTTGGTGACTTTTCCGCCGGACGGAGCCTTCTTCTCCACCGTCTTGATGACGCCCACAGCCACCGTCTGCCTCATGTCGCGGACGGCGAAGCGACCTGAGAGGGAAAGGAAACGTCACCAGTGATGGGCGGATTGATACTGAGCTTTCGATTCTCAAGTCCAGGGATCAATACTTTCAATATCCAGTCATCTGAGATAATGGATCTTAACAAAAACATGCTAGAAAGTAACACAATTATTTAGATCTTTTCTAAAGGAGACGGGTTGAAGGGAACTACTTTTTCTTGCGCCTGGTGATAAGTGCGTAGGAACGTAATGCCCAAGCAAGACGAGCTGCTGCGAACACACTACACTGCAAAAACACAAAACCTAACCAACTGCTGTTGGTCCAGTTTCCACTGTAAATATCTTAGTGCACTTTAAATAAGACAAAACTAACTTACAAATAACTTTTGAACAAGATATAGGAGCTTTTTAAAAGTAAATAATTACTTAATACTGATGAAAAAGTGATAGCTAAACTGGCAGATTATCTAATTTATAACAAGGAAAAAATGTCTTGTTATAAGTAAAATTATCTGCCAGTGGAAGTGGTAGTATCGGCCAAAAGTTGAAACTATATTTATATAGTGTTGGTAAATATTGGCAATATAACAGAAATATTAACATCGCATATCGATATTGGCCCAGATTTTCATATCAGTGCATCCCTACATTGGAGCGACATCTTGGATTCTTTATGAAACCAAAAGTTGAATTACTCCACTTGTTTTTAGACTGACCGGTACCAGACCAGTGTCGCCGATTCCACCTGAATTTTCGGTTTAAGTTTCTGGAAACGTAAACAAAGCGACCCCCAGTGGAGGGGCTGACTCACCCAGTGGGGGGTACTGGGAGAAGCTCTCGACACACATGGGTTTCCCAGGCACCATGGTGATGATGGCGGCGTCGCCGGACTTCAGGGCCTTGGGGTTGTCCTCCAGCTTCTTGCCGGAGCGGCGGTCGATCTTCTCCTTCAGCTCGCTGAACTTGCAGGCGATGTGAGCGGTGTGGCAGTCCAGAACCGGGGCGTAACCCTGGGCGATCTGGCCCGGGTGGTTCAGGATGATGACCTGCAAGAGGAGCGACTCATCAGTTAAAGAAACAAACACCGACCTCCTAAATGAGCGAACCACTGGGTGTCAGAGTGATTCCCTCTGTGAGCCAAAAATCCACCTGCAGTTTTATATTATTGTTGTTATTTTGTAATTATGTTATTTACATGATTTATTTTCTTTTTGGATTCTAAATATTAAATGATTGATAATTTGATCAGTTACTCAGTACTCGAGTCAACTTTTTACCAAATAGTTTTTTATTTAAAAACTAGGCAGATTGGCTGCATCTGATCCAGATAAAAGGTTCTGGTTCTGCTTTGCGTCAGTAAACGGGTTCTGCGGCTCACCTGAGCGGTGAAGTTCTCCGCAGCCTGAGGCGGGTCGTTCTTGCTGTCTCCAGCCACGTTGCCGCGGCGGATCTCCTTGACGGAGACGTTCTTGACGTTGAAGCCGACGTTGTCGCCGGGCAGAGCTTCGGGCAGAGACTCGTGGTGCATCTCCACGGACTTCACCTCAGTGGTCAGGTTGGGGGGGGCGAAGGTGACGACCATGCCGGGCTTCAGGATGCCGGTCTCAACGCGGCCCACGGGAACGGTTCCGATACCTGAGAGGGGAAAGTCACTGGGTGTGAGCTGTGTGCTTCAGGTTAGAAAACCCTCAAAATCTACAAAAATGGCTGAAAATATTATTTTATCTTGACATTATGGGCTGCTTTTTATGTTTATTTTACACTAAACTCGGCTTAGTATAAGTGTGGAACAGGGTGTGAATACTTTCTGACATACGACAGACACACATATATACAGTGGTGGAATATACTAACTAAAGTGCTAATCATAAACATTAGTTTCGCTATTGCTAAGGCAACACGGTGTTTAGCTGAAGTTAAAGTTAGCGAAAGCGCTAAACAAAAACATTAGCTCTGTTATTAGCGCGATAGCTGCACCACTTTTACTCACCGCCGATCTTGTAGACGTCCTGCAGCGGCAGCCGGAGGGGCTTGTCGGTGGGACGGGAAGGTGGCATGATGGAGTCCAGGGCCTCCAGCAGGGTCACACCTGTAGCTCCGCCCTCTTTACGCTCAATTTTCCAACCTTTGAACCAGCTCATCTTCAAGTAGAAAAAAGGATTCAGTTCACATGATCGCAATGAGAATCTGATTTGGACTCTGCATCTCACCTTGTCGCTGGCCTCCAGCATGTTGTCTCCATGCCAACCAGAGATGGGGACGAAGGCGACGGTGGCAGGGTTGTAGCCGATCTTCTTGATGTAGGCGCTCACTTCCTTGGTGATCTCCTCGAATCTCTTCTGGCTGTAAGGGGGCTCAGTGGAGTCCATCTTGTTGACACCAACGATGAGCTGCTTCACGCCCAGAGTGTAGGCCAGCAGGGCATGCTCACGGGTCTGCCCGTTCTTGGAGATACCAGCCTCAAACTCACCAACACCAGCAGCAACGATCAGGACGGCGCAGTCAGCCTGGAAAGTTAAGAGTCACTTTAGATTCAAACATTCCAAAATTAAACAAGTCAATCTAATATTGTGGGTTCTTACCTGGGAGGTACCAGTGATCATGTTCTTGATGAAGTCCCTGTGTCCAGGAGCATCAATGATGGTCACGTAGTACTTGCCGGTCTCAAACTTCCACAGAGCGATGTCGATGGTAATACCACGCTCACGCTCGGCCTTCAGTTTGTCCAACACCCAGGCGTACTTGAAGGAGCCTTTTCCCATCTGAGAACAGAACATCACTTTAATCTTGGGTGCATTTTCATGACGGGCCATTGTAGATAGACAAAAAAGGGAGTAATAAATTTTTGTTCTATAAACGCTCTGAAAACTTAAAAAAAAAAAAAAAAAAAAAAAGAACATTTCTCAGTCTGTTCACAGTCTGAAAAGTCAAGCATTTACTGGAAAAACTCAGAAATTTTGAGAATAATGTCAGAAAATTTCTTTAAAAAACTTTGCAACAAAAAAGAGTGAAAAGTTGAAAATTTGCTGGAAAAAATTTGGTATTTTTTAAATTAATCTCAGAAAAAACGGAAATTCCCGTTTTAAAAGTCAACATTTTTCAACTCTTGGAAAAGAAATCTGCTTTTGAAACTGAAATTTCCATGTTTTTTCTAAAAACATTCAATGTGTTCATTCTAGCACATTTCTGACTTTTGGAGCTCACAAACCTCCTTTTTTTAAAATTAAAAACAATCAGAGAGGAATCTCAAAATTTCTGTTTTTTTTTTTTTTTTCCTTAGCAAATTTCTGGCTTTTTGAGCTCAGAAATGTGCTTGTTTCTTCTAGAAAAAGTTTTTAGTGGAAATTTACTGCTCCTTTTCCTTTTGTTACCCACAGTGGCCCTAAAACGTCATCACACATTTTATTTGCAAGTGAACAAAATGCATTTTCCTAATATTAAACGTTCTTATTTATGAGAATTTATCTTTTTTTATATATTTAGCCCATCTTGTTGCAGTACACATTTCAGACACTAGATGGCAGCCTCCACCACAGAGGGTTGCCCCGCCACAGTGATTAGAATCCGAACCGAACCGAACCGAGTGCTGCTGGAACCGACCTCGGCTGCCTCCTTCTCGAACTTCTCGATGGTTCTCTTGTCGATGCCGCCGCATTTGTAGATGAGGTGGCCGGTGGTGGTGGACTTGCCGGAGTCGACGTGGCCGATGACCACGATGTTGATGTGGGTCTTTTCTTTTCCCATTTTACTGACCGGCTGCAAATAAACAGGAGCAGCTTTAACATTTTTTCAGGCTTTTAAGTTCACATTTTCTCTAAAAGCAGCGGCCATTTAATAATTCATTTAAAATTAAACTATTTCAATGATCAGTTACTCATTTTTCAAAGAGTTTTACAAACTTAAAAGGGTTTTACAGCTGAGCAACATGTATTACGTCAGAGGACTTTTCTGTAATAAATATTAGCTTTATATGACTTTAAGACGCAACTAAAGCAGGTCGTTTTAATATAAAATCGCCCTTACCACGCTTAACTTTGAAATTGTGTATGATTAGACTTTTTCTCTATATATTCTGATTGGAGAAATACCTGTTTGAAATATCTTATTCTGTCTAGAATAAATTGCAGATTTACAATTCAGTTGTATTGAGGAGTCAATCCAAGATATCCACAGTTGTCAAACATGTCGTGTAAATGTCTATAGAAGGCTTCAAATCTCATTTTATTCTGGAGTCATTTCAAAGATATCTTGACACCATAATTCAAGGCATTTTTAGATATATAGATTAAACTTTCAAGTTTCACTGCTGATATTTGTCAAAATTTAAGTAGAACTAATTTTGAAAACCGTTTTAGGCTTTATTTCAGATATCTTGAACATTCTGACTGGTCAGAATGACATTACTGTATTAAGTATTCCGACTAGAAAAAAAAAGATTGTGTAGCATTTTGAAATTTTAAGGGATTTTTGAGAAGGTCCCATTTTCAGCTTGGGAACAGTTTAATTTGCTCTATGCTCGACAGCCATTGAGGATTGAAAATTACGGTTCAGGATAGTCGAAACAAGTTATGTGAAATGCATTTACCCAGTTGGAACCAATTTTATGTTAAAACGTCCTGCCATAACCAGCCATTCTAAGGGTGGAAACGTGCTCGTTCCCGACACCGGAAAGTGACGCACCACATGCTGTATTAGCGCCGGTCTCCGGCCTCCATGTTGCGCACAGCCCGCCGCCATGTTGTGTAATGTGAACGCGCGCCATTAGGCGTGTTCATGAAGGTAGACATTTCTCTCCCCTTCAGTCTACATTAAACATTTATTCGGAGGCTCTGCTGTGCTGATGGAAGAGCTTTTAATTCCCAGAATCGGGTTTTCCTCCAAAACGAAGCACCTCCTAAACCATGCTGTCACAGTTGAGATTTAAACTCACTAAACTTTTAGCCTCATTTTCACTCCAGCATGCAGTTAAAAACACTTTCACCAACCTTAGTCCAGCAACCAAAAGGTCCGAGTTAAAGAAGAGACAAAAAGGACCGAACCCGACCCGAGTTGAGCTTTTATACTGAACATAAAGGGAGGGCTGCGCAGCTTCTTGGTTGGTTCCTTCTCTCAAACCAAGCGGTGCCATTGGCTGGAGAGATGACACGTCTCAGTGGACAGCATGGTCAGGAACAGCTGCACCCCGCTTCAGACTTGACCATCCACCCCAGCTAAAGGATGCCAGACAAGCCAATTGCAATTTTTTCAGAAACATTTATTTATTAGTTACCAGCAGCTTTCTTTCCAATTAATTTGTGGCATTTTTTAACATTGAGATACAGTTCTAAACCATTTCCAACTCAAACTGAACTGAGAAGAGGCACTGTCTTGACTTGGGTGACAATGCCAGAGTTCTTTTTTCCTGCGGAAACTTTTGCGATGGGTTTTAATCAGCATAAGCCAGTCCTTGAGTAGAGAGCTGTGCCTCGGGGAAGATGACCCAGGGTGGTACGAGGAGATGGGGGAGGGGGTGGCCCGCAGCTGCCGGCACGCGTCTTGTTGTTGGATGTCCTGCACGACCATTCATTTCTTCTTCTGGGCCTTCTCTGCAGCCTTGGTCGTCTTTCCAGAGACTTCCTTGGTGTCAACGGCCTTGATGACTCCGACAGCCACAGTCTGCCTCATGTCACGCACGGCGAAACGACCTGGAACACAGGTTAGGTGGTGTTAGACAATACTGCAATATACCAATACTACATTAGCTGTAGAACCAGACAGAACACAGAGGCAGGCTCCTACCAAGGGGAGGGTAGTTGGAGAAGGGCTCCACCACCATGGGCTTCTGGGGGATCAGCTTGACGATGGCGGCATCACCAGACTTGACGAACTTGGGGTTGTCCTCAAGCTTCTTGCCGGAACGACGGTCGATCTTCTCAATCAGCTCCTTGAACTTGCAGGCAATGTGAGCAGTGTGGCAGTCCAGAACGGGGGCATAACCCTCGTTGATCTGACCTGGGTGGTTCAGGATGATGACCTGTGGACGAGTCCAGAGTTAGAAACCTACTACCCCAAAACAGAGTCTTGTCTATGCATCAGATGAGCTGCACCAACCTGAGCATTGAAACTATCAGCGGCCTTGGGTGGGTCGTTCTTGCTGTCTCCAGCGACGTATCCACGACGGATTTCCTTGACGGAGACGTTCTTGACGTTGAAGCCAACATTGTCACCGGGTACGGCTTCAGTTAGAGACTCGTGGTGCATCTCCACGGATTTCACCTCAGTGGTCAGGTTAGGGGGGGCGAAAGTGACAACCATGCCGGGCTTCAGGACACCGGTCTCAACACGACCGACTGGGACAGTTCCAATGCCTGGGGGGGTTGAGGGAAGGAGATTTAGACCATCAAATGCACTGGAGTAAGTTCAAATTATGCAAAACAAACTTTGTTTAGGGATTCTTACCGCCAATCTTGTAGACGTCCTGCAGGGGCAGACGAAGGGGCTTGTCTGTGGGACGGGAAGGTGGCAGGATGGCATCCAAGGCATCCAGGAGAGTGGTTCCGTTGGCATTGCCGTCCTTGCGCTCAACTTTCCATCCTTTGAACCAGTTCATCTACAGTCACCGACACAAAAGACTTAGTTTTCTTCATCAGTAACCCCCAAAAAACATTCCCATTTGGTGCCGAGGTCTCACCTTGGTACTAGCCTCCAGCATGTTGTCTCCGTGCCATCCAGAGATGGGGACGAAGGCAACAGCGGCAGGGTTGTAGCCGATCTTCTTGATGTAGGTGCTCACTTCCTTTTGGATTTCCTCAAAACGGGCCTGGCTGTAAGGGGGCTCAGTGGAGTCCATCTTGTTGACACCAACGATGAGCTGCTTCACACCCAGGGTGAAGGCCAGCAGGGCATGCTCACGGGTCTGCCCGTTCTTGGAGATACCAGCCTCAAACTCACCAACACCAGCAGCAACGATCAGGACGGCGCAGTCAGCCTGGAAAGTTAATTGTCACTTTAGATTCAAACATTCCAAAATTAAACAAGTCAATCTAATATTGTGGGTTCTTACCTGGGAGGTACCAGTGATCATGTTCTTGATGAAGTCCCTGTGTCCAGGAGCATCAATGATGGTCACGTAGTACTTGCCGGTCTCAAACTTCCACAGAGCGATGTCGATGGTAATACCACGCTCACGCTCGGCCTTCAGTTTGTCCAACACCCAGGCGTACTTGAAAGAGCCTTTTCCCATCTAACAAAAAAAGAAAAGTTGTGGTTTAACTTCAATTTTAGAGTAAATATTTGTCAGGGAAATTAAAATGCATTTAAAAGATTTAAGAAAACTTAATCCTTTAAAATACAGGTAAATTACTAGACCCATTATGATGTCAATCAAGTTTTATATGAAGTGTTCTTTTTGCCTTGTTTAAATAAAAAACAAACTGAGCCGAATCATAGTAGACGACTTTTCTAAATTCATCTCCAGATAATCCTTCAATTGGTATACAGTTGACATTTGTAAATGTTTATGCAAGAGTACTTATTAACCATACATATACATTTTACTTTAGCTTCATTACTTTTAAGCTCTATTGGTACAGTATTAATTGACTGAACTATTTAAATAAAATTTTAAACACTTGCTTACAAATTGATCATTTAAAGGTCATTCAGTTCATATAACTGAAACTGTTTCAGTGTTTATGCATGTAGGTTTTTAAAGTAGGGTTCTGAACTTGCACTAAAAATGTGTTTTTAAATGTTAAATTTGAACTGGAGCACTTTTGTATTTATAAATTCTAAGTTTCAAATCCGTAATCTCCAGTTTCCGTTAAATGGTCTGCGGCCTACTCTGGATAAAATGCACAGTCACCACTAGCCGTTGCCGCCGGCAGGCCCCACCCCGCGTGCGCGCACACAGTTACAGCTACACTCCTCGTGCCGGGCAGTTGGGCATGCCGACGCCGCCATCTTGGACGTGTTTAAAACGTCCTTAAAAGTTGGATTAAAGGAAAATAAAAGCCTCTCTCACCTCAGCGGCTTCCTTCTCGAACTTCTCGATGGTTCTCTTGTCGATTCCTCCGCATTTGTAGATCAGGTGGCCGGTGGAGGTGGACTTGCCGGAGTCGACATGGCCAATGACCACGATGTTGATATGGGTCTTTTCTTTTCCCATTGTCTTAGTTTCTGTTTAAAAGAAGCAAAAACCACATTAGCCATTTTAGCTTAAAGCGTTTAATACGGAAGCTAAGAGCTAAATGAGTCAAAAGAGGCGTCGGTCGAAGCAAAACGGGCTTAAGCCGGTTTTAATCGGTCATTACTGAAGAGTATGTACTGTTATTAAAGTCTTTAAATCGGGTCAACATAATAAATTTCGCTTTCAAAAACCGCATTTCTACATTACGTTGATATTTTTCTTTAGCTGACTGCTTTGCTAAAAGGCGGAGGCTGCTAGGCCGCAGCGGGCCCCAGGCCAGCCTGAGACACGTGTTACTGCCTGGGCCACGTCGGATAAAGTTACAAAGACCTCCAAATATCCAGAGTCCATCCTGGTCCAGACACCCACACCTGTTACTGGGAAACCCGTCCAGTTGTTCCCAGGAGGAGAGGGACCAGATGCCAACGAAGCATCCTCGGATGTGGGGTTTTCTCTGCCTCCTTTGTTCATTTTCTCTACATACGCTCCCTTTTTAACGCATTTTCTAATCCTAAACTATTGAACTCCACGAAAACAAAAATCCTTCCTCTCATATTCAACGCGGTTAAACATTTTCCATACGTTTAAAATCCAATTCTAAGTGAAAAACTAAACAGGTTACATAACAGCAAACCGTAAAGTTCCGATATGCTTAAGTTAGGAATAAGCCGAAGACGTTTTCTCATTAGCAGGTAAAACACGGCATCGAGGCCTGCGTCATGATTTCTGGTAAATGAATGAATCAGAGCTTAACTCACCGGTGTTTCTGGGTTTTCACGGCCAAAGCTGCTGCCCCTTAGCCAGGTAACAGAAAGAGGAAGAGTAGAGTCGGACTGGGAGGTTTTATACTGCATGGGAGGCGGCCTGGAGGTTCCGTCATCCTCCCTCCGCGCAAAACTCCGCAAATCACGCGCATTCCTGTAAAAAACGTCACCACGCCGGCCGGATGCAGACTAAAACACGCATGGTGGTGTTTCCTCAGCTGGCATAGGAGTTCACACACAAAACAACACATCCACCTTACTCCTGACACTTAAAGATGAAAGAATGCGGTTAAAATATATCCACATTTTCAGTATAAACAATATAAGCATTTTATCTATATATTTTTAAATATCTACTCTACTCAAAAATATTTTAAAATGCTGGCGTTTAACAGTAGCATTTTTTTCAGAACTGCTGCAAAAACTATTTTGTTTTTTTACTTTTACTTGCTAAATAAACAAATTAAACACACACTATTTTAATGACATAAGAAGGTAGTTCTTTGTAGAGTTAAAACAAAAAAGTATCTTGAAGGTTTGCCAGATTACAAAAAAATTCCTAAATGTTCCTCTTTTTTCTGGATTTTTTTTTTTGTGTGTGTGTTTTTAGTGACAAGAACAGTTTGTCTACTTGTTTGTTTATTCATGTTCATTAAATGGTCGTCCCCAAGTCTGCATAGATGATTTTGGTCTATTACTAACAAATTAAATTAAATGCAAAACCCTGGAAATTACCTGTATAATTAAGTGTGGAATAAAAATAAAATACTCCCAGTCTGTTTAATAAAATAATTATTTCACATCCATGCAAAGTTACACAACTGAGAATTTTTTATATAAATTACAAGAGTTTAAATTCATGTTAACTGAGAGATTTGTTACTCTCAGTTAGGAAGGCTGAAGTGACTTACTTTTGAGTGAAATGTTGACGACTATATAACACAAAAGTATTACAGTTTTCAGCTTTTAAACTATTAAAATATAGAAATATGTGACTTGAAATTTTCCTACAGCTCAAAATATAACAAAAGTTCCAACATTTCAGCAAAAAAATGATCAAAATTACAATTAAAATACTTTATTGTGATTGGTAGTAGAACCAAGACGACATTGTTTTGCCCAAACAGTTCCAAAAACTGTAATCAATTTTAAAA